TTGCACGCATCCGGAAACGGTGCTGCAGCAACTACTGGTCAAGCTGGAGTTGGCACCGTTCTCAGCTCCAAGGCCCAGTCCTAGTTGGTTGACTGGATTCCCGTGGGCAGTCGTTTATGTGCAGCCCGTTTAACGACACTGACAAGTTGATTCACGAAGTAGCAATAAACATCGCTTGGTTGTGGTTTTTCCTTATGCTCCTCCCAGTGACTGCATTTCTGATGCTGCCAAGAACGCCTTCTACCACGAACTGAACACGCCAATACGCAGTGCTACCAGTTTGGATATCAAAGTTATTGCGGGGATATGAACGCGCAAGTAGGTCGACTGAGCTCTTCAGGAGCTCCGACCGGACGGACAACAGCGAGCGTCTTATGCAAATGTGCGTGGATCACCGACTTTTTCTTAGTAGTAGTGTTTTTGTACAGTGGGCGCCGAATTGTCACTGAGCGCCCATTTATAGCTAACCAGCGGTTGACCCAAATGGATCACGTTACCACAAGTAACAGGTGGCGTGGTTCCATCCTGAATTGTCGCTGGTTCTGAAAGATCTGCATCGACTCTGATCATGCCCTGGTATGCTGCCGTTTCTCCATGAAAGTTACCAGGCGTACCATGCGCCACCCTCGATAGGAAACGGAAAAATCGTCTGCCCCCGATCGGGCAAAACATCCAAAGAGGCAATGCGTAGTTTCGAACTCTCGTCCAAATGACACTGAGCTTCAGTGGAATAGGATCGCAGCCGCTACGCATGGTACCGGAGCCTCGCTTGCGGCACTATCAATCATCACCGCACCAGTTACTGGATATCCGACGTCGGTGAACTTGTTGGGGTCCAGAAGGAAACTCCCTGCTGGCCTTGAGCACAAGGTAACCACGCGGGTTATTAGACGCGAACTAAAGCGGAGCCAGCGTGCTGTCAAAGAAACCTGATGCACTATTAGGACCCGAAATAGAGGGAAGTAGACAATTATCGCAAGCTTTTTCAAGTGACCCGCATCACTGGCCCCAGAAAACCAGGCGACGGCGGGACAATCGGAGACAGCGCAAATGCCCTGATTAACAATAAGGAGCGCCGTATGGCTCGTTAGACGGAGCACTTCCGAGATCAGTTTAGTTGGTCCCTTGCTCCGGGACCTATGCTTACCCAGATGAAGCAGGGTAACCCATGGTCGATTAGTTTAGAGGCTGAGGTCCGAAACGCGATCGAAGTCCATAACCGTTTCCGTGCTGCTACCCCGGATTCCCTAACACCCGCACTAATTAAGGATGGTAGTGGGGTCCTTTGCAAAACACTGACCTCCCTATTCAAACAGGTCTGGAAGGAACAGACCATCCCACCTAACTATAGTCAATCGATCATAGTGGCAGTTGCACTGAGTGTGTTATTTACATGGGTATAACCCTAACACAGGTGGTGACAAAATTACTGGTTTCAATTCTCGTTCGTCGCCTCTCTGTGGAACGGGAATCCGGTGCTAGGGAAGAGCCACACGTACCGCAGGTCGACGGAAGGTTTGTTTATGGACTTCAAGGGTGCATTCTACTTAATCGATTGATGCATTCTGTTCGAGATACTTGCGCGAAAAGATGTTCCCATGAATTATGTGAACATATTACGTGCCCTGTACTCGAACGTCATAAGCCGCGTCAGGGTCAACGGTAGCTTACCATATATCTTTCGGACAACAAGTGGCATACATCAGAGTTACCCGATTTGCCCTTTATGTTCAACTGCGTCGTGGACTGCATCATGGAGTATTCTCTTGCGAAGCCTCACGATGCAAGCGTCGAGGTGCTGCTTGATGAAAAGGTAGTTGATCTTGATTATGCGGACGATATCGTCTTGCTGTTTAAAGATGTCGGGAATGCCCAATCAACCCTGAATAACCTCTCTAGTGGGTTCATCATTTGCCATGCACTTCGTGCCTTCGAAGTGCAGTGTTGCTATAGGACCATTAATCACTTGATGACCTCTTGATGGCGAAGAACTCGAGGTAGCTGATCACCTCACTTACCTTGGCAGCTGTATCAGCAACGACAGGCGCACAGCAACTGAAGTCAGTTCACGTAGTGTAAAAGCCAGAACTGCCTTCTTGAACCTGCGACATCTATGGCGACAGAAAGGGGTTCCCTTCCGGTCCGAAAACTCGCATTTACAAAGCCACAGTGAGGACTGTCCTACTATATGGGAGTGAGACTTGGTCCCTTCTATATCAGGACCCGCAACGCCTAAGTTTTTGATCATCATGTCAGTGAAGCATTGCTGGTGTCGGATGGCACCCGTGTGTCCACAACGATGATGGGCGTATACGAGCGCCATGCAGTGATAATCAGGCTAATTCCTTAGAAGAAATCATCATCATCATCATTATACACGTTAGCTAGAGGTGGGAAACACCTCAGCTACTGTGCCGCAGGAAACATCTCAGCTACTGTGCCGCAACAAACAACAAAAGGTAACACTGAATAAGTTACATTAGCATAGACATGTAATACGTATGCCGGTCACTGATTGCCGAGGAGGGCCTTGTTTCGTTTGTCAGGTGTATGATGGCACAGGGCCCGAGGTGGACAAAGAGTAACTTGGCAGCGGGAAATGAAGTCACTGACGAACGAACTATGTGTCGTCGGTCGGTCTCGCCTTCCAGGCTGGAGTCCATGTGACCTGCCTTGTGCTTCGCTCGAGAGTTAACAGGACATGGCTCGCAATCGACACCGGTGGCGCGTCTGCTGCCGTCTCATAGTTGGAGTGCCTGTTTAAAGTGTGTACGGTGCTGTGTTATTCGCGGGGTAATGGCTGATTGTTATACGGGATAGTGAATGCCGCAAGTTAGCTGTCTCATTGATACCGCCTTATCTTTGCATGATAGCCAGCTGTTTGTGGTTGTACGTTGTTGATTAGGGGTAAACGCCTTGACCCTGAAGGTTTGTTCAGAACATTAAGGTTTCACGCTAGCTCCCCATTATCACCCTGCTATTATTTTTCGTTCCGCAGAGAAACAGCAGTTTAGATGGCTGATGTACTGCTGTTGATGATGGTGATAACGCATCCGGAAAGTGCCCATGACTTGCGAGACAAGCGATAACGGTCCGCCATCGTCTTCCGTGGCTATGACATTTGCTATTTGTCCGTGACGTGATAGTGCAGAGAGGTAATACGTTTTGTTCGTGGTGAAGCCTAGCGATGAGCACAAATGACGAGTGCAACACCGAGAAACTGTCGTCTGGTGCTTTTCTTATTATGTGATTGGCTATCTGGCTTGGAAGCTACTGCGATGGACTCTCAATAAGAAGATAAGCTACTTGTGAGCACATAAGGGACCATCTGGCACGACGGTGTCTGTTGGTTACACATGGAGCTTGGTTTCTTGAGAATTAGGTTACAAATTGTACAGCAAGATAGCCCCAAAGCAGCCTCAGTGTCAGGGAGAGCAAAACCTCCCAGGAAAACTCGTTGATTAATTGGGAAAACAGGTTGAGCCAATGGAGTGCAGGCGAGACATCAAGTGGTTTCAGGAATGTTCGCGTCCATGCGACGTACGCACCTACCCCCACATTGGCCGGTGGAACCGATCTACCAATCAGGACAGCTTACCAAGTTGTTCTGATACGTGTATCTTCCTTGGTTGACTTATAAAAATATCCGTGGATTGCACAGTACTTGTACCCGTTCGGTAGCTTGCTCTGCAACAAGCCTTTACCTCCGAGCGTTAAATTCTGATTTTCCGGCTGAGATTCAGAGCTAGCAGAGAACGATTTCAGTTCAACCAAATCGCGCAAAGGTAGATCGTAAGACTCATTAACTACGAGGTCGTCAAATGCTCGTCAATGAACGCTTCACATAAAATACGGGGGTCAAAATAGGACTTGTAATTTTGACAATATTGCAAGCAATTTGTAGTACAGTCGAACCTGTCTAAGGCGACCACTCAAGGGACCAACAAAAAGCGGTCACATTGTACAGGTGGTCGCCGTAGTCAGGTTCATGAATAGGAACATGATTCACAGAAGAAAAAGCTAGGTATCTTTTGAATGGTCACCATAGATAAGTGGTCATCACAGCAGGCTGGAGTGTATATAAAGGATATTTTTTTAGAACTACGCGAACCAGTGATAAGATTCAAACACCCTCATCTAATAGGTAATTGGTCGGCAGGTGGCCGAGTGGTCTGCACGTTTGCTTTGCAACCATAAGGTCAACGGTTCGAATCCGCGTAGGGGTGGGCGTCCTCGCGGTATACTCAGCCCGCGCGCGACTGGTGGTGGTCGCGCGGTAGCGAAGCGCCGTTACGGCGTTCAGCTGACACATTATTTTATTTAATTATTTATAATAAGGTAATTGTCAGTATAAAGATCATGCCAGCAAAATGTACAGTAGTATAAGATAACTCAGCTTCTCCAAAGCGAAATGCCCACTGATGTCGTTACGGGAGCCCGTCAATAACACCTGTCGAAGCTAGCCCTATCGCACTGTCTCGAGCAGCCCGGAGAGGATTGGATGCAAGCCCCCCGTAGCCGAGTTGTCAACCAATCAGAATGACCATCCTTGAAGCCCTCCAGTAAGCACACTACTTGATCACCCAACAAGCGAGTTTTTGCGCACCTAGTAGTTACTATGGTCAGAAACTTGCAATTAGGTCTTTTCTCCCATGAACTATTTATTTCGACCCAATATTTTGGCTGTACATTCTGTCTTCCGAGTGCTCCATACAAGTTCCATCAGAGGCGTTAGTTTTTCTGATTCGGAAGTGGCTGTATCGTGACCAGTGACTGTATCGGTTATCCGTACTGTCAGAGGAACAGACAGCAAGTGTGGTTAATAGCCTAACTCGAATGGGGAAAATACAGAGACAACATGGGGCGAATAATTTGTTAAATGATGAAAGAATGGTGTTTAACTTAGGCATCCGGAAAGTAAGTGGTATTCAATGAAAATAAAGCAAATAGATAAGTATTAAGCACAAATACGTCTGGGTAGCCGAATCGACTATACTCACTAAAATTTCTGCCGTTCCAATTGCTTCGTCGGCTTTCTGCGACACGTCTGTGTTAAGTTGCGTAGTCAAGCAAGTGAATTCACCAAAATCGTCATCCCCGAATTCATCTGTATCATAACCGGCGCACTGGCGAAAGGCAGTTTGATCCATCTCTGAATTAGCCTTATCGGTTGTCGTCCATGTATCTGAACACAGCACCGTGGGTTCCGTAAAAGAGGCGAAAGAAGCAAATTGAGTTGGGTCTTTGATAGAATCGTTCACTGCACCCTCCTCGCCTGATACTAAATGTGTCACCGAAACTGGGCGAGGAATGTTTTCGTTGAGACCATTAACAGTAGGCCACGGGTGAGACGAAATAGAGAAGCAGTCGGCATAGAGATGACCAACATGACTTTTGTCATTTTCTTTGAGGGAAGGTGGATCCTCCCCCGATAGTTGGTATAACCGGAGTTTTGTTCCTTCAGCAGGATCCAGTTCGGAGGCAATCTCTTCGATAGAACGGGGTTTCCCTTGCACTCTCTCAACCGCCTTCTGGATGTATGATGCCAAGTCAGGAACATCAAGGTCGTCTGGAATAACTTCCGGTAAATCCACATGAGTTAGACTTGAAGGACTGCTAGACACCGAGATCCGTTCACCAGCAGAGTCGGTTGGAGAGATAGTGCGATGCTGAGCGTTTTGACGTGAACAGACTTCCGCTTGAGACGAAGTAATATCTACAAGAAAGTAGGATTTAACAGATAACGTGTACCGTCTAGCAAATCCTCACGATCGCTGAGGATGCTAATAGGTGACGTCATCGATTAGATACAAGAAGTGCGGCGCAGCTGAAAAGAAAAAAATACTTTACTTAAGTACTTCACTTTACTTAGGTGTCAAACATGTATGCTAGCGGTTGCGCGAGAGATACTAGCTATGTGATTGCCCTAAATCTGAGACGAACGTATCAGATCAAAGATCGGATGGACGTTACAAACCGGTACCATCTGCAGATGAAGTAAACAAACCAGTGCAGACATGGTGACAGTGTTGCGTTTACATTGACAGTACGGAGAGTCTATACATCTATACGGGTCGCAGCCCACCTCCCACATTCTACAAAAGGAAGATAAGCAAAACGAATGTAGCCAGCATACTTTCATGGATCAGCATCAGAATTCATCACAACGAAACTGGACCTGAACGTGGTGCGATGGTTGGTGTGCCTCAGTGATCCACTGAACTATGCTGGGTGGTATTTAGCTGCAGCTTCAGAACCACTCATAGCAAATTGGTCAATGGTTAGATGCCAAACAAACTGTCTCTTGGGCCTCCAGGTTGGGGGTTGGAGTGAGGGTGGCTCCTTACTAAATAAAACCGGCTCTGTGTAGTCTAGTGCCAAAACCCGCTGCCTTGCGGTAAGGTTTTTGAACCAAAAACTTTGATTGAGAACCCTATTCGTTCTCCTGTCTAGACCTGGGCAACCTGACAGTATTCTGCCCACGCAATACAATGAACCCTTCATCAAACAATTTCTTGATGATCTGGCCGTCGCAGAGGATATTCAACGGCACCCTACCCGCTGCATTGAGCACGGTGGATAGGGTTTTGGAAGCTATAGCTCAGGCCTTCCCGTCTTCTTATCCCCCTTCTTGCGCTTCTTCATCCTTATCGTCCCGCTCCAACTTTACTTTTATCCCCCCACTTTCAAGCCCCCTATACTTGGCCTACCCCCACCTTGCTTCAGTAGTCGTTTGTCTTCTGGTTTCACCTCACACACAATCGCAGGAGGTCGCCCCAACCCAGTCGACTATTCCAGGTTCAACAAAGCGGACAACGTGCGCAGTTTGCTACAGATTGGCCAACAAGCAGCACTTGCCTGAACACTAGAGACCCTATCGCTCGATATTTGCTGTTTATCGAAAACCCTACTGTAAGATTAGAGCTCCGTTCTTACCCTACCATCAACCATATGCGACACTAGCGGCACATTCTCATTGTGCCTGTCTGGCGATGATGTAGCTTCAAATGCCAGTCAACCTAGCGTCGGCATTGTTTTGAGTCCCCGGGCTGAAGTTGCTCTGATCGACTGGATCCCAGTCAACAATCGGATGTGCGCCGTTAGATTAGCTGGTTCGTTCCATGCTTCAAAGTCGCGCGGGGACAAACGGTGCCGATTTGTCATTAAGGCCTACGCCCCCCACAAACAGTCGCACTGATTCGGTGAAAGATGATAACTAAAATTGTCCTCTGATGACCTTCATCTGGGCGGCCAAAATGGTGTTAGCTCGAGTAATGATAACGGAGAGCGATTGCTACACCTGCGTGAAGATGCTCGCCTCTATCTCGCGAGCACAAACTTTTCTACACGGCACCGTCGTTGCTGATGTAGCTGCCAAGATAAGTGAAATGATCAAGCACCTCGAGTTCCTCGTTAGTAAGGGTCAAGGGGTCATCAAGTGGCTGGTGGTCCTGCAGCAACACTTTGCATTTTGAAGGTGCGATGCGCATAACAAACAATGGGACCACTCTGGACGGGCTGCTCAGGGTTGATTGTGCTACCGCAACAGCGTCGAAAAGCAAGGCGATATCGTCCGCATAATCAAGATCAACTAATCTTTCACCAGGCAGCACTTCAACGCCTAGATCGTGAGATTCTGCAAGGGAACACTCCATGATAGAATCTACGACATAATTGAACAAAAATGGGGAAATCCGACAACCCTGACGAACGCCACTTGTGCTCGAAAAGCAATCCCATAGGCCACCGTAGACTCTGACGCGGAGTGTAGGGTTCGAATATGGAGCACGTAGGATGTTCACATATTTTGTGTAAACATCTTTCCGCGCAAGAATTTCAAGCAGAATGCATCGATCGACTAAATCGAACGCATTCTTGAGATCAAGGAACACAGGCACTGTCGGTCTGCGGTATGCATCGCGTTACCCTAGCACCTGTCGCACTTCTCCAAGTCTGCAGTCCATCGAGGTTGTGGTCCATTGTGGACATCCAGGACGATAGTCCCTGACTAAAACACTCTGTCTTGGGTGAAATAGACGTACTTGCCTCCTGTGCCGCTGATTGAAGTAATTTTCCATTCTCACTTTCCTCTCTTGCGGAGCAATACGCTTTGGAACAGCAAAGAATTCAGAGTACGGAGTTTCCTGCATATAAGCGCTTCTGCTGGGGACAGCTGATTTGGCACCTGGGGAATTCGGAGTTGGTCTGTACAGTAGAAGGCAAACATCCAATATCTCTTGGGTGGTTCCTTCCCCCCTCATCTTCAGCAACGTCCGTTTAAAGGTATCAACAAAGCGCTCAGCCTGCCCATTGGACGACGCCGAGCATAGGTGGGTGATGCTGTTCTGCGCACAGTATTCGGCGAACTGCAAAGATGCGAACTGAGGGCCATTGTCAGTAACCAGGGTCCCTGGTATTCCATGTTGGGCGAAATTCTTCTCAGTACGCCAATGGTTGCGCCACTTGTTATGTGTTCCATGTAGAACACTTCCGGCCACTTACTGAAGGAATCAACAACGATGAGATACTGTTGTCCATTCACGGGACCAAACAAATCCGCGTGTTCTCGCTGTCCCGGTTTCGTTGACAACGGCCATGAAGACACTTCCGCTTTCCTGGGCGCCTTGCTTACAAGCGCACATTTCGGACACGATTTTGCTAGCTGTCCCAGCTCCGAGTCGATATTCAGCCAGTAAACGTAACTCCACGCAATCATTTTCATTCTGTTAATGCCAGAGTGTTCACACTGAAACTGCCGTAAGATTCTTTGGCGAAGCTCACTAGGGACAACAACTCTTTCCACCAATAGTAAACAACCATTGACGATGGATAATTCACCTTTTCTCCGGGACAGGCTTTGCAATTCCCCATTTAGATTGTCTTGCAGGCACTGTGTAGTATGAAATCTGACCACTTGTTGTAGGACAGGATCCCGCATTGATGCATCACGTATTATTTCAAAAGTTACCGGAAGTTCTCTGAGCGTTTCCAACAACACCTGATTCACTTCCGACTCCAGAGAGATTGCTGCAATGATAGGTTCTTCTTGCTGTTGCTGCTGGCTTTCCAATAACCGAGAAAGTGCATCAGTTTGACCAATGTCCTTTGTAGAAATGTGCTTCACCGTAAAGTTGTAGCCGAGTAACGTAGTAGCACACCGCTGCAACCTGTTTGCCGTATAGACAGGGATGCTCGCCTTTGATCCGAAAACTGCCAACAGCGGCTTATGGTCAGTAAGAAGTGTAAACTTTCTTCCATACAGCATTTTATGAAATTTCCTTACAGTGAAGACTATCGCCAAGGCTTCTTTCTCTATCTGGCCACAATTTCGCTCTGCGGCAGACATCGACCGGGCTGCATGTGCGATTGCCTTTTCTGAACCATCTGCGAACTTATGGGCTATGATTGCGCCAATGCCATAGTTCGAGGCGTCTGTGGCCACCACAATCTCCACAGTTGAATCGTAATGTGTTAGCAGAAGGTCGAAACATCGTAGCCTTTTTACCTCGTCAGATGAGCTCTGGCATTGTTCGGACCAGTTCCAGTGTTTATCTTTGGTCAGCAAATCATCGAGTGGACCACGCAAGCGATACATGTGCGGTAGGAACGGGCTGTAATGGCTTATGAATCCCAGGAAAGACCTTCGTGTTGCACGATCTTTGGGCAGCGGCCTATTCTTGATGGCCTCAATGTTCGCTGGGTCTGGACGTCTGCCGTTCCAGTTGAGTATAAAGCCAAGGAATGTAATCGAGTCCATGAAGAAGATACACTTCTCAGGTCGGAGTCTGAATCCATATTCCTCAACACGGCCAAGAACTCGATGCAGCTTTTCGGATAGTTCGTCAGCACTGTCTCCGACAACAATGATGTCGCCCAAGTATGCGGCTGCTCCATCGACATCTGTCAAAATTGTGTCCATGATCAGCTGGAATATGGCTGGTGCAGACTTGGCTCCAAATGGGAGACAGTGATACTGGTACAAGCTTCGATGCGTATTGATGGTGAGTAATTCTCGTGAAGCTTCATGTACTTCGATTTGCAGGTATGCATTAGAGAGATCCAGCTTTGCGAAACATTTATCACCATTCAATTTTGCGAACAAATCATCTGAGAGCAGTAAAGAATACTGTTGGGCGTTCAATGCAGCATTTAGACTCGTCGAGAAATCGTCGCATATTCGAATCTGAACGTTTGGCTTTTTGACAACCACAATGGATACCTCCCAAGACGAGTAATTCACCGGGTGGATAACCCTTGCTCTCTAAACGATCCAGCTCATGGTCAATCATTGATGTCGCCGCGTAAGGTACAGGGATTCTCGAACGAAAGACTATACAGCACCGAGCTTACGGGAGAATGAAACTTGTACTTTAGTGCATTTACTGACGCGTTCCCGAAAAAAATGTTGCACATTTCCCCCGTAGGCGCTCGATAGCTATAGTTATAGGAGCTGTTTTCTAGTGTATCTGGACATTTGCACAAATCCGGTTGATCAGAACATCAAGTAGGTTGAAACGCTCGATCCAGTTCAGACTCAGAAGATTCAAATTTTGGTGGCTCGTGAGGAAAATCGTTCCCCATGTGGTAACGTCGGCATAACGACACTCACAATCGACTTGAGCAATCGATTTCAAATCGACACCTGATACACGTTTTGCCTGCTGACTGGTAGGTTTGATATCTGATGACCCGGCAGTTCTCCACAGTCTTCCTGATATCATCGTAATGTCTGAGGCCGTATCAATCTGCAAACACACCTGTCTTCCACTGATGCTGATGTTAATGTACTTTCGACGATCTCTGACATCGTCAGTAAAATTGGCGTTCA